CCCAAACCAACCCCCCCCCCAACCCTCCCCCACCCCTAAAAAAAACCCTTTCAAAACTCCCTCATTTTTGGCACCCAACCTCTTTCTGACTAGAGTTGTAAATTTTCCCTAAAATAATAGAAATTTCATGTCAGACATGTAACTTCCATCGCAAGCTTCCTTTACTCTACCAATTGTACTTCCCACCCCATTCACGTGCTCACACATTAATATAATGCGCAGATGCACACAAATACCCCTCCTAAAATCATGTTGAGGCTTGAATAGCTTATCAGAAATATGTTTTCTAGGTATCAGAAATATGTTTTCTAGGTATCAGCCTATATTTCCAAAGCACTCAAATACCCCACCTGAAAAATCATGTTTAGTTGAGGCTTGAATATGTTTTCTGCGTATCCGCCTACATTTTAATGCAGCTTTTTTTTTCTCCCCTTAAAACTGATGTGAGAGTACCAATACATTCAACTTCGTCATCTGGAAAGTGAAAAGCCATATTTTGAAGGTTACATAACCTTCCAAAATTTATGATTATTTTCGTGAGTATTTTGCTTTTATTTGATTATTATGAAATTTATCAATACATTCACCTTCTTCAGCTGAAATGTTAAAAGCCATATCTTAAAGGTTAATAACCTTCCAGAACTTATGGCTTATTTCCATGAGTATTTTGCTTTGAATGTTATGTGGTTCTAATGAAACCTGTTTGTGCTTACGCATAATAAGTTCCTGCTTATATACTACATTGTATATTCAAGGTCATAAATTTCTGTTCTTGATATGCATGGCTGATCACGTGAAAGTGGAGCACATTCTTTACCTTAAAAAAAATCACTGCTGGGGGGATAATCTCAGTTTCTAGAAACAAGCCTTTTAATGTGCTACATTCTTGAGCCTAGTTAAGTGAAGGTTTAATCTCGACAAGATTCAAGGAAACAACTATAATTCATAATGAAATTTATTGGTTGCAGTATATAATGCGTAATTATATTTTATAAGCTACTTGAGTATTTTATATATTCAGTTATTTTGCTAGATTCTCTCACGATGATCTGGTTCATGCATTAAGACATAAATGCACTGTTATTACAGCCAAACACAGGTCACCACCAGCTGCAGCTCCAGCTTCCGCACCAACGGCTGCCCCAGTGAAGGCACAGGAAACAGTTACTCACGGAAAGAACAAGAACTTTTTTGCGAAATTCTTCAGTTTTGGTTCCAAATGATTGTATCTGCCTTTTCCTTTTCAACCTTTCCAGTGGTAGAATTAGAAGTAACATATAAGAGCCTGACAGGCTGTAGTAATATGTGGTCATGCAAATTATTTTGAATTCTAGCGAATAAACGTTATTGCTTGTATATCGTGTGTTATAGTTGCGAATTTGCTCTCTGGTTAGCCTAATCTTTTAGAAAGGTGGTTAACTTTTTCAAGCTTTGGAGTAGTGATCACTTGCATCCTCTGCAGACTTTATACGGTTGGGTTTTGTTACAACTCAGCTGAGCAGCAAACCTGAAAGAAGCGGAGAAGAAAGAAGAGGAGGCTTCAGTAGGTACCAACGGTGCTCATTTGCTTATAAATGTCCTTCTTATGGACGTTTTGAGAACGTTGAATGTAGAAGCTTTATGTGGTTTGAGGTTATTACAAGATTGGAACTCTACATTCAATGAGTGGATTCCATCTTTATGTAGAAGCAAGTCAAATTGGGCAATAGCGACAGCTAACTTATTTGTACCCTTGCTAGTATACGAAGAAGCACGTCTGGAAAAATTTGTAGTCAGGATTGAAGCCTCCTCCACATAGATGCCGAAATAATGTCTGTCGGGAGCTTCCTTTCGCAATTCTTCGAAAACACCTCCCTCGTCCACCTCTGTCGCTACGTCATCCACATTTAATCGTTCAGCGAGTTGGAGATCGCTACGTCATCCACATTTAATCGTTCAGCGAGTTGGAGAGCTTTAATAGCCGCCACTGCAACCACCGTCTGAAACGGATCAAACTCCGAATTTCTCTACAAAAACACCTAAGGCCGATTCTCCAACCAAACACTTATTTCCATAGGCATCCCAGCAGTCCACAACTTGAGCCGAAGTCTATGGTGGAAAAAGACCGAACTTGAGGCCTGCAAAGAAATGGACTTAGAATGTAATATCTGAAAGGCAATTTATAAGCCGCATTTACTGTAAATCTTTCATTTGGAATTTCATTCAAAATAAGGCTGTTAGGATGAAAACCAAAAGGGATAGGGATTTGCATAATGCACCGATCTTTCTTTAGCCCAAATATGTATCTACACACCGGTCAGCATACGTCGTCTGCTCTAGAGTGAAAATTGCCTTTAAAGTTATTAGTCAGACTTCACGAAAAAGCGCCTGTAGCTCAGTGGATAGAGCGTCTGTTTCCTAAGCAGAAAGTCGTAGGTTCGACCCCTACCTGGCGCGTTCGTCAAAGACGTTCCTTTTGATTTTTGGGTGCTATTTTTGCTTCTCAAATTTAATGTTGGGCTTATCATTTAATGTTTTTAGTAAAAAGTTTTTTTTTTGGTTAATGAAAAGTATGAATAAAAAGTTTGAAGGAGCAATAGTCTTGTTTTTTTAGGTAAAAATTCATTAACTTCAGATATCTAAGGCCAAAAAAGCCAAACAAAACCGCACCAAACTGATTTGACAGGTTTGTGTAGGCGTCTAAAAATGCCTATAGGTGTCCGCACAGAGCTCGAGACGGAGAGAAGATGACGAACATCGTTATCCGAGTGAAAGAGGATTATCTGACACCGACAAATGCATGAATCAGAATGGCGAACCAACTGTGTCTCGTGCGCTCACCGGCCATCTCCAGTTGGCCGTCACACCTGTCAGTCAGCCCGCGTGCGTCAGTCAGCTCGCGCACGTCAGTCAACTCGCACGCGTCAGTCAGCTCCAAGTGACCGGCCGCGCACGTCAGTCAGCCCGCGCGCGTCAGTCAGCTCCAAGTGACCGGCCGCGCACGTCAGTCAGCTCGTGAGCATTAGTCAGCTCCAAGTGACCGGACGT